TGATGGCGAGTATATGCTTCGATTGATTCTTGTGCTCCCTATGCGCGTGTTCTTGATCACCGAACAAGTTACAAAATAAGTTTATGTGCTCCTATCCTTGTTCTTGTGAGTCCTTGTGAAGCTACATTGGTGATGGTTGGTGGTAGATGCGGATTACCACCGAGCTCTGAATGCTACTCTTAGGGATATTATTACTGTGCTTTTTTGCTATGGTTAGTCATGATTACTGATCAGTTGATCAGTTCTTTTGAATGTACCAATTTTATTTTTTCATTTATTTGTTTCCCCCCATTTGAAACAGGGCTCAAGTCGCTTCCTGAGATGCATTTCACACCTGACTCACCTCCCACGCCTAAAATGTCTCCAGGTAAACGTTTTTCTGCTTGTCTAGTAATTCGGTGAATCTGCGGCCACTAATGCCATTTAGAGACTCTTGGCCATTTCGGCTTTCGCACCATATGATCCCTGCTCATCTGCCCACAACAAAACGGAATTTTTTTTATTTTTACTTGCGGTGTTCTCTCCATTTCTTGTTATATGCTGCTATAGGGCTATAGGAATACAGATTCAAACTTGATTGTATGATAAAACTGATTATTGATTCAATTCTTCTACTCGCAGCATCTATTCTATTAACTTGTAACTGCCTACTAATTACAGTATCGAGTGTCCTGGTGATGCGGATGCTATATATATAGTCTTCTCAAACTCTGAGTGCACAGATATGTTAAGTTGTAACTGTACCTTCTAGTTATTTAATCTGAGCAATCGTTGATCATCTCATCCATTTGATTGTTTGAACACTGGAATTAATATCTTTGCGGAATCGTTGATCATACTTCGTGTGTACTAATTGAAATCAGTTGTGCATGTCCGTGCTGCTGCCGCCCCAGGACAAGTGAAGTGCCCCCGTCGACTATGGAGGAGCTTTCGACGTCCGTGCCGCACAATCGGTCGGGATCGGTGGCCTTCAGTTCCTGCCAGATTTCCCTTGTGACGTTAGTCCTCGCGGCAGCAGCTGCAGCCTTGATCACGTTGTTGTTCTGATACATGCTTGTCTGACCTCGCTCTTGAACTTGTGCATGTCTGCTTCGTCTTTCTTGATCGGTTCCTCGTGTTGCATACAATGAAGTGGTGTCATGTGACGCTGGGCATAATCTCTGAAAACTCCTGACTGGTTCGGTGTGGTTTTGTTTATTCAACACCAATTGCCTTAGCTTTCTTTTTTTGAAGGAGACAGAGAAGAGAGTAGCTAGATTTATTTTTCTATTTTGATTTACAAATGGTCCGGTTTTATTTCAAAATGGTCCGCACTTTTCGATCTTTGGGCTTATTAAGCTTAAGAATCTTACTTAATAGGAGAAAATAGCCTCCTAAACATATGGCTAGCAACTGGTTCACCAGGAGTACGCAAGAAAGGCAAAATCACTACGAATTATTGATTTAGGAATGGGAATGGGCTAGAACCCTGGGTTCTTCCTTATATAACTAATGGTCTTTTCATTCTAATACTCTATCCGAGAGTTCTCAGTATTTAGCAAAGCTGTTCCTATCTAACGGATAAAAACAGGATCAAATGACAAAGACATTGTTTGTGGAGAAAGAGGTGGCTTTTCCCGGATGAAATGAAACATTTGATTTGTGTAACAGGAGAAAGATTTCCCACTCCTTAGCCATAAAGATATGTGGCCATGAAAAAGGGAGGGGATTCAGTGGAACAGGATTGGCCGGGCGGTAGAATCGTGGAAACACTTGTTGATTCCTATTTTGGACCCTAGCTCCATGGAACAATATGCTACTGCGGAAACATGGAAGAATTGCAATCTTAGATCAAAACACTATGTGTGGAAAGCTTGACAAGGGTCAGTTACTTGTACATTTGATTAGTATGAGCCACTCACATCGTTTTTTAAGGATAGGTGGGAGTAGGAACCTACAATAAAGAGCAGATAGCCCACATGAATCATGGGAATAACAATACGAGGCCTTTGACGAGTAAAGGAGAAATGCAAGATTTGGATCCGCGATTTCAACAAGTAGTTCATGCTTCGTCGGCAGGGGAGACTATAGGCCATGAAAACCCACCCCTGGTATCTCCACCTGTGGATTGAGAGTCAAA